GTACACTTTATATATACAGTCTATGTGGGTACCAGGAGAGCCTTGAATGCATTGCTTGGGATCTATTACCATCTTTCATTTCATAAGACTCAACAGCCCATGGCATTTCTATATATTAGATGACATGTATCCCAAATATCAGAAAGAGATAAAAGAGAAACATGTTCTTGTTTTTACGCCCAGGTGCTAAAATTGTCTCTCTCCTTCATTAAGAAGAAATACATTTGGAGCCAACTGCTGATAGAGCTACCTAACCCCCAGTTTCCACCGGGTCCGTCTGCGCCGCGCTGCGCCGCGGCGGTCGTAAGGGTCCCGGCCACTCTAGTCAATGGGTGCTATTCCACCACACGCGCCGTGTTACGGCTCAGACGCGTCCCAGAAGCGTCCCAGAAGCGTCCCAGAAGCGGCCCAGAAGCAGCCCAGAAGCGGCCCAGAAGCGGCCCAGAAGCGGCCCAGAAGCGGCCCAGAAGCGGCCCAGAAGCGGCCCAGAAGCGGCCCAGAAGCGGCCCAGAAGCGGCTCGGCGCAGCGCTTCTCTAAAATTAGGATGAATCCTATTTTTGCCGCGGCACAGCCGTAACATAAGGTCGGGCAGGCAGCCCCCCCTCGCAGGAAGTGGAAAGGTGAGCATCCGGGCCAGGCCCATCCCCCACATATACTAATTTAGCAGACCCCCCTCCTTCATCACAACACCTCCACTACGATACGCACAATGGATGACGAGGTTTTTATCATGGAAGTGGAAAAACACTATTTTATATGATGTAACCAATGCTTACTACAAGGACAACATCAGAAAGGACAAGGCCTGGTTTTTAGTCGCTGCAGTTTATGGAGTGGAAGGTAACAACTACATATTAATGTTTTAAAGTTAATTAATACTTGTAGGTACAGTAAAGAGCCATTCAATAAACACAATTTAAACCTGACACAAAAATAAAACATTTAACTACGTAGCCTACTTACTTTCTTGTAGAAGTACAAATGTCCAGGATGCCTGAATCAATAACAAAACTGTGAGCCTATACGCACGACGCTACGCTTCTGAAACGCTTCTGGGACGCGTCCGGTGGGTTATGGCGCTAGAGGAGGTCGGACCAAAACCGCGGCGCAGCCGTGACGCGGCGCAGACGGACCCAGTGGAAACTGGGGGTAACGACCCGTCCACACAGCGGCATGCGTTGAAGCTTCCAACGCTTCTGCCCATTCACTTTGAATGGGGTGACGTCACTTTTAGCCGAACTGCATCGTGGGAAGCGACACGGAGCGTTGCTGGCGTGGCTCGCTGCAAAAGTTGAGCAATGTTCAACTTTTGACGCCTCGGCAGAAGCGTCAGCCAATCGAATCATATGCCAGTACAAGCTCTAGCCAATCAAACCGCTGCTTGTGTGTCAGGGGCGGGAGATTCATGTGATTGGTTGTTGGTCGAGTGTCAGACACGCCCGCCGGCAAGCGTCAACGCACGCCGCTGTGTGGACGGGCTGTAAGGCCAATGAGGTGTAATTAATGTAGAGCAGTACTTGGGCATGTGTTTTTCTCCCCCTTTAGGCCCAGTTCAAAAAGTGAGGTGTCTCCTTGCATTACAAATCATGCATATTATTAAGGCAGCTTAAAGCACTGTCACCAAGAAAAGGCTTCATTTATGAGCCTCTCGATCTTAGCGTAAAGCCTCCAGACACCCAGATGGTCCACAGCATTTATTTCCGATACAAAGGTTAATCAAAGCTTCTATCTGCTAATTAGAAAACGGTGAATGGGATGCTCATCATGCTCATCATTCGATAACTTGAAGGATTTTTTTTAAAGACACAATTGTTGCCCATTTGCAGTGAATTATGTAATCATTAAAACATGAATAGAATCACCAACCTTTAGCTTTTATTCACATTAATTCAGAAAGAGTAAACTAATTAGAATGTAAGGTTTTTCTAGTAGTGTTTACACCATACATGTTCTTTTTATATTTAAGTATTTACCAAATGGCTGCTTAAGAACCTAGGACATCACTTATTGCATTTTTGACTGCTGTTTTAAAGCCTTGAGTTCTGCAGAGTTGTTTGGAATCAGAAGTGAGCATTTTTGGACAAGACTGTTGATTTGAGCGACAGTGAGACCTGGTGAACCAGCTTAGCTAGGTAGCTTGGTTATCATGGTGCCACACTTAACTTTAACTGGTATCATTTGTGATACTGAAGCTAGCAAATTACTGGTTCTTATTGGAAAGAATGCTGTGGTAGTTATAATGCTAACAATTTATCAATCACAAGGTAGCCATACCCTAACCAAGCTCTGCCTTATTGTCTTATTTACTCTAAATGGGAGCATAATTTACAAAATGATCATCATGATGTATTTAAAAACATTTTAAACAAGTGATTAAGACCATGAGCCTAATAAATCAAGTTATAAGGTCATTTTCTCATAGGCTTCTATACAATCAGACTTCTTTTTGCAACCAGTTGAGTCATACCTTTCTGGACATTAAAAATAATCCAGGTTAAAGCCACTTTCACATAAATTTCACTTTCAGACCCAGAAGTTACTCTTTCTTGAAACGATTAAAATAACGAAGAAATCCCTAAAATACTAGTCTCGAAAGCTAGAGACAGAATAACAGTATACAGTCAGACCCATGGGGCTGGCAAGTGTTGTTGTGACTGAACTGTATTCTGGATTTACCATTGTTTAAGAAAGATTTAATTGGCTATTACGTGATTTAGAGCTCATTCCCAAGTGTGTGTGTAAATATGTGATAAAGACCTTTCACCATTCAAAGTGAATGCAGAATGAAGTGCCAGTTAAACGTCTCTGCTAACGCACTCCTTTCTGGTTCAGCTGTGTCCTGGTAATATAATACAAAGTAAATGAGAAAATGAAATTATTTCAGAGATGTATGGAAATAGCGCTTCATGGTCCATTTCCCTGCAATAGAGTCAACACAGCAGCCCAGGAAGGATGACAGGCATACATCTTGTAAGGCCTCGTAAGGTTCATTGACATTCTTGATGGTAAGTGACCTAGCTGGAAGACTGTAAGAGAGGGAGAGAGTATGACATGTAAACCAACTTAGTCGCTCAAATTAATTTTGGAGCAGTGACGGTCGTGTTTCTCGAGGCTATGGGTGAGTGCTAATGTGATTCTGAATACATGGAAAAATAAAGCTGATATAACATTGCAGGTTCACTGTGAGTGTTGTACAATTGTGCCACTAGGTGTTGCTAACATTTTAATACAAGCCTACAGTACAACAATATTATGCTGTAGATAGATACCAAACATGGCCAGGGTTATTATGCATGCCAGGGAAATTTAGCTTGCTGCCTTATGTCGAACACAGTAAGAGGGTGAGTAGCTCCGTACGCCAAGTTCCACAGAAAAACATCTTTTGATTTTCCCGTAGCATACCATGCTGCTTTGATCTCTTATTTTTTTTTTCGTGGCAGTCGTGCTCCCCTGAGGAGACCAGCTATATTATCCCCCCCAGCCTTAATTCATCAGGAAGTGTTAAGGGATCAGTGTGTCAGCTCGGCTTAAGAGCAGATGACAAACTGAGACTTCTCACTGCCTTGATACAGAGTCTCTTGTTGCTCTGACGTTGTTTTGCGGATTTTGCTATCATATTTTATGCTTTCCAAATGAACGGGTAATTTGACATTTGTTGATACAGTGTGTTGGTTTATTGGATCAGGTTGTTTGTGGCTGCCTTTAATCTTACATGCTCTAATGTAAATCATTTACAGTTGCTTAGATGTATTTTTCCAGCAAAAACTGAGCACATAGTCTTACTCACACAGGCAGCCATCCTAATGGTGGCTTTATGTGTTGGCACATTTTCAACTTTTCTTTTCATGGGTGTACTTGAGAGGTCATCATCACATGGGAATAGACCCACTGTTCCTCATAAGACCCATTGTTTCGAACTCATCCGTGGGCCTTTTGACAGTTATAGCGCGGTCTATTTGAAGTTGTAGTCACACTATGACAGTTAATGAGATTTAACGAAGACTGTGCTCCTCTCTAAGGCTCTCTCTGTTTACAATAATAAGAATGTGCCATTCCTGCAGAGGGGTTGTTGCTGCCTCTCATGTGTCTTTCTGTATGTGTGTTTACTTGTATACATATATATTGTTGTACGCACCAACAGCCTATATTTACATGATGTATGTTTGCATGGAGTTTTTAGCACGTTTGAAGTTGTATTTCGTTTTTCTAAAGAGAAAAAATGTAGAAAGTTTCCAAATAGTGCAATTTACTTTACATGCAATACACGTTTGCTGAGACATTTCAATGCACAGACATTATTTTGCCATTTAAGAACAGGAATTAGGATACTTTTAAGCTGATCCAGGGCGAGTGCATGAAGGAATGAATGAAGACAGATTATATGCTTTGCAGCATACATATAGCTATGACCATTTGTCACTGCATTAAGCTTACCATATTTAGCTTTCTGTGAGACAGATAGACCAGTATCTTAGGTTGTATCATTACAGGCAGCAAACTTAGTTCTGTCTTGGGTCAGAGATTTGATTTTATAAAGTTCCTTTAACTGTGAAAAATTGGTTTTCTTGTCGACAACACAACAATCACTTTTAGTAACCTTGTTTGGATACAGAGCACACCTCCGATATATGCTCATTCGCGCTGACTTCCCTCTCGCCATCTCAAGACAAATTAATTTCTCAGAGTCGCCTTCAGCTGCAGGGCCGGCCATTGCACAGCTGTTGCAACCAACTGCAGCACTTAAAATGAATCATTCAGTTTGGCAAAATATCTCTAGATTCACTGCAAATGATGAAGTATTTCATCCTCTTATACCGTCATTAATGAAACACTCAGCAGCAGAATGCAGTTTTTCGAGAAGAAAACAAATCTAATTTGCGCAAAACTATGCATTGCTGTCACTGCGGGCAAAATCTAAACTAATGATCATATCATTGTTCTTCTCTCCCCTGCCCAACTTCTGGCTTGTCATGCACTGCTAATATGGACATCCACGCAGGCTCAGGTCAGTGCCGTTCATTCTGTACATATACTCTGCTATAGCTAATGAAGACTAAATGCATGTTGGATGTGTCACATACACTCCTGTGACCCTTTTGGTCGAGAAAAATAACATTAGTTTAAAAGAGAGAGTGATACATGGATGTGAAGTGCATTGGGATGATATTTCATCTGCGTATTAACTGGAGAGACTCAGATTGGCATTTTCTAAAGAAGGACTTACTTTACACAATTATTCCAATAGTAGGATAAAGTTTTTGAGGGTGTGCAGAGCCGTGTAATATCATTTTGTATTAGCTATCAAAAGTGTCTAAAGCCGAGCAAAAGAGCAGAGGATAGAGATTAATCGATATTGCTCATTTAACCAATGAGAGATGTTGGTCTACTCTCTATTAGCTGATTTTTTATGATAGCCTATTCATCTTCGTAAATGTGTGCGACCTACTGTAAGATGTACTTCAGTCTAGAATCCAGTACTTCCGTGTCGGAATGCACCGAAAAAACGTTTGACACCTTTTGTGTTATGCCACTATAACCAATGTTGCGAGTGTAATGGTCACATGATTTCTGATTATAGAAATTGCATAGGTGCTCAGTAAAAAGTGTCTGCATTTCAGGGAAGTAACTAGATTATCGTATTGCTTTTTTTGAAAATGCCCTGTTAAGCTGGAATTGTGTTTCTACAGTAGTGGTGTAGAAAGTGCAGAGCATTTGCCAGTTTACCCAACAGGGGCATCTGCAGGGACAGATGGGAGATGATGAGGGTGTGTAATAGGCATCTGTGTGGCCTCTAGGAGAGGGAATACTCAACACTCATTCCCTCTCTACAGTCTGTAGCACACACACACACACACACACACACACACACACACACACACACACACACACACACACACACACACACACACACACACACACACACACACACACACACACACACACACACACACTTGCACACCCATTACAGCTTGTCATAGCTTTTTCCACAAATTGTCCTCTAGAGTATACCTTTTACTGTGGCAGACTGTTACATAAATAGAGAGTAAACATGTGTTTACAGGAGCATTGCGCTAGCTGCTCCCTTGGTAACAGAGCCATGCCAGAGTCACAGGTTGAGAGGGAGGAAGAGAATAGGCTCTACATCCAGCCAACTGCATCCTCGGCTGAAGGGCCTTACTGCCATGGTCATTTTCCTTTCACACATCGCATGCTGTTCCCTCCATATTATACATGGGTCTTATTAAAGTATGAATAGTGTTAGTCATAATACATTTGTGTCCTTTCCTGCAGTGCTCATTTGTAAGTTCAGAGCCCCACTGTGGTAAAAGGTGCTCTTTTCTGGAGTTGAATAATCCTTTTCATTTCTGATACTCACATTATATTCCAACACTGAATGTAGAAAATATCAGGGTCCTTTTCCAGATACAAAAAGGATTACTGGGTAATGTATACTAAACTAACGTCCACAGGGACAAAATGTCATAAAGGGCAAGTGTTTGATTTTGAATACAAGAAGAGAATGCTACCATATGTTGTAATTTCAAGTGGCATGTTGACATATGGTTTCAAGAAAAGGGCAAGAAATGATGCCTTGTTGCTTTTTCTCTTAGTGTTACATTATGTATTGTGTATTATGAAAGTGAAAGTGTCCCAAATATGTTTTATATTCCCCAAAACGTTCTATAATCCCCCATGTGTGTCCTTTTCCTTGTGTGTATGTGTGTGAATTTGTTCATGCGTGGATTTGCATGTACGTGTGCAGGTGTACGAGGCTGTGCCGTGCCACCGTGACTGCGGCCAATATGAGTGGAGGATCGAGCACTGGTCCATTTGTACCATCAACACTGTGGACGACCTGCCAGCCTGCGGGGAGGGAGTCCAGAGTCGCAAGATCAGGTCAGTGAGCGGGTTAGCTTAGTGCGCTGCTAGCCTGGCACCACAACACACACTGGCAACAGTCCTGTAGCTGGCACTCACACCTGTAGCTGGCACTCACACCTGTAGCTGGCACTCACACCTGTAGCTGGCACTCACACCTGTAGCTGGCACTCACACCTGTAGCTGGCACTCACACCCATCCTGACACTTGTAATGCCAGGGGAAAACAAACAGTTGAAACAAACTGCTGCTTACTAATGAGAGTTGTTAGGTTTTCCACAGTGCCTTTTTAGTGCTGTTTAAAATTGCCACAGAGGGAAGCAGTGAAGGTATGTCCTTTTTTCTGCAGGAAACATCTACAAGTGTTGGTTTTGGATTATGCTCCATCAGAGGGTGGGTGTTATTGTGTGAAAAGCAATTTAATTGGTCTTGTTTAGTATAAGCCTACCTTTGAGTGTGAGGTAAATGAGTCCCAACCAACTACCTAGCTGTTGAAAAGGCTTATACATCTGCATTTTGGTAGACCAACAATCTTGGAGTTAGAAATTGCCTCTTATTTTCCACATTTTTTAAATGTGCATACAGTTTGAAACTTAAACACCTGCCTGTTTTTCAGGTTTGTCACATCTTTTAACAGGAAGAGAAAATATGCTAAAAGTGTATCTGATTTGTGATGATTTTACCACACACACCATTATTTTCTAAATATCTAATCTGTTTACAGCCTAAGGTCTAGATTCAATGGTAAATATTACAGTCTGTTTTCATGCAATACTCAGTCTTTTGAAATTAAAAACAAAGTTGCCATTGATGTAGTGAAAAGAGTACTTTTTATCAAAACCATTTCAGTTTTATGCAGCAACATATTTGGAGAGCCTAGACACATTGAAAACAAAATTGTGGAGACTTTTGAAATAAACAACTTGCAAAAACGCAACTGTAGAAACTTATAAATGTGTATGAAAACTCAAAAAAGGACCCAGTTAGGAGTGCCCATGAGACTAGTTATAAAGCTGCATCTGCTGCTCTGCTAGGTGTGTGAGGCAGACTGCAGCAAGTGGGGAGAACAGCACGCTGGAGGACAGTCTGTGTGATCAGGAGGAAACCCCCCCCACAGCTCAGGTCTGCTTCCTGGCCTGCCCCAACGACTGCGTCATGGCACCCTGGGGTTCCTGGACCAACTGCCCTGTGGTGAGTTGACTTACTGTTTCCTTGGTTGGTTGATAGGTTGACGTGCAAAGTGGGATCATTTATTGGTATCATTGAAAACATGTCCAGTGTTATCAGCATAAAAGCGAACACAGTTTTTTCAGAGAAGTTTTTAGTTTTTTTACACATTTTTAAACATCCATGACATTATTGGTGTATTTGAAATAAATATTGTATTTAATATCTTAGTGGGAAGTTATATTTGACATGTTTTTCCATTTTGTCATGTAGTTAAATATTTATTATTTAATTATTTTTCTTTGTTAATATTCAGAAAAGTGAGCTAATTGTTTAAGATACGCTAAAACAAAATGTCTGTCTTTCTCACTTTTTAAACCTGTACATATCATTTCAAATGAATGGGTTGTTGGGCTGCTGGTCATAAGTCATCACATTTCCAGTTTCAACTGGTTTGTGACATTGACATTTGTGATGTTTGTAATTAGACGCCACTCCAATTATTTAGTCTTGCAATAGATTTAGCAATTCAAATGATCAACAGCTGCAGATTAAAACAGTAAAAAAAAACAAGAATGTTTCATAAGTCTTTCTAAAAAATGTAAGGTTAAAAATATTTTTTAATATAGGTTGATATATTCTACATATTTTAATTACACATGATGGAGATGTTTGTAATTGTTACTAATAAAAGTAAATGTTCTTAAGATCTCTTGAGTGTACCAGCAGCTGCTCTGTAACCTTGTGTGGTTTGAAACTGCTCTTTTGGTACTGCAAATGAAATTGAGTGTAATAATGTGCCTCCAATTTTCGATGCCCTCAGTCTTAAACTTAGCACAGGTCGCCCTGTGTGTCCAGCCCCAGGCTACTGGTCACCCGGCCACGTAGGCGTGTTATATGTTTCCTGTCAAACACAACAGCTCAGTGGACCGGAACATTGGAGTCAGAGCAAGAGCAGAGTGGGAAAAAGAGATAGAGAGAGAGATGACTTACTTAGTCCGAGTTTTCTCCACAGACATTTTGTCTCATTCAATCTTTTAGTGAGCAAGCTTTGGCAGACATTTTAACATCAGTAAAAATGAGCCATCTAATGAATTTGCCTATAAAATAATGCTTAAACTGTTCACTAGAAAGCTCATTAAACTGTGACAGCCTTATAAACTGTTACTGGTGATTTGTTTCGACAGTTAAATCAACCCAGAAAACATTTAACACATGTAGTGCAATACAGTGTGTAGAGAGGATGACTTCTGAAGTAGGCAGAGCTCATAAACAAGAATTCAGTCTTGTTTTACAATGAAATGGTACTCAATCAATCAATCAATCAATGTTTATTTATTGTTTATTTTGCTTTAACAATCGATTTTAGGACACTAGGAAGCAGTGAAACTCATACCATAAAAATATGTAAGATAACTTGGGATGTGAGATTTTACACAATGATAATGAAACAATAAAATGTATTTTATATTACAATATACCGAGCCCTTTCCCAATAGAACAAAACACATCAAAGTGAATTTATTCTGCTCACAATTGTCTGCATGAATTGAACCGCAACGGTTTCTAAATCTAACGAAGGCTCTATACATTTATACATCATAGTTTTAATTATAAAACACCACTGGTAGAAGAAGAGTCAAAGGTTAACAGTTATTGCATTCTACAAATGTTCTATAAACCTCACATTTGCAAAACTCCTCAACTAAATCTTTCCATTAAGTACAGAATAAACCCACCATGCTTTCATAGAGAAAGCACCTTTGTGACAACTGTTGAGTGGGTCATTATTCATCAAGACATTAATGCTAATCTTAAAAAGACACATCCTACTTCCTGATGTCCTGGAAGAAACATAAGTGTTTTATTTCGCACACTAACTTTTGTGAACACAGAAATGTTTGGTGTAAAAAGGCAAGTCCACTGTTTTTCTTAATGAACATGGAGTAGTTGTACAGCCCTGGGCCATTCCTGTACTCAGCTGGAATGAGCATTGTGGGATTGTGGGGGTCCGAGGGTGACACAGTAATGCTTAATAACACTAAATGTTTTATGTATGTAAAAGCCAACTGTGTCAATACAAATGCTATTATGGGGGATCGCATTTAGCTGCCATACCCTATAGAATAGAAGCAAAACCATACAATCGATAATAAACCCAGACAGTGCGATCTTTATGGTGAAGTAAACATACTTCATTAAAGTTTTGTTTTTACACAATGTTATTATGTTATGAGTACATATCATCAATACATATTTTTATTGAAATAAGGCTCATGTGAGATAATGCCCTACACTTTCCGCCAAAAGAAACCAAGATTCGAGGCTTTATTGTCATATGCACAGCAGCTACTATGTAGATATGGCAATGAAAACCTGTCCCAGGCTCCTCCAACAATGCAACAGGAATATATATAGGACATAGAACAGATAAAACCAATACAAATAGTGCAAGAAATAACAGAATATAAATAAAATACTACAAGAGAATGTTGTAAGATGTGCAAGTAAATACAATAAAATAGAAATAGTGCAAGAAGAGTCTATATACACGTAAATGAAATATGATATAGATAAATAAATAGCAAGATGCAAACAGATGAATGTTTATGGAGGCACTTTTTTCGGAATTGTATATGTTAATTTAGGAAACAGTATTCAGTAATGTTATAAAACTTATATATATTATATATAATGAACTGAAATGAAGAGAAAACAAATTGCCTACCGTGACCTGTGAGGCAGGAAAACAAAATCCATCAGCTCTCATTACCGGTGTGTGTTTTCATCTTGCAAACATACTGCACATCAGGAGTGAGCGTACTCCCTGTGACACCACTCAGTTTACAGTTTGGAAGCTTTTGCTTTAGCAAATCTTCGCTGTTTCACGGACATCTCTCAGCGAGAGGTTGAGGGCATCATTAGGAGGATGAAGCCCTCCACCTGTGTCCTGGACCCCCTTCCGTCAGCTCTTGTAAAATCGTACATCTGTACCATGAGCCCCATGATCACTAAGATCGTAAACCTCTCACTCCAGGCTGGCCATGTCCCCTCTGCCCTAAAAACCGCTGTCATCAAACCTCGTCTCAAAAAACCTTCCCTTGACCCGGGTGTCCTGGCCAACTACAGACCCATTTCCAACCTTCCTTTTCTATCAAAGGTGCTGGAAAAACTAGTTGCTGCTCAGCTCCAGGACCACCTAAACTCCAACAACTTATTTGAGAAGTTCCAGTCTGGTTTCCGCTCAGGCCACAGCACAGAAACTGCCCTGGTCAGGGTCACCAACGACCTGCTGATGACGGCTGATGCTGGCTCTCCCTCTCTCCTCATCCTCCTCGATCTCACTGCAGCTTTCGACACCGTCGATCACGGCATCCTCGTCCATCGTCTGCACTCCACCATCGGACTCTCTGACTCTCCCCTTGACTGGTTCAGATCATACCTCACCGGGAGAACAGAGTACGTCTCCTTGGGCGAGGCAGAGTCGGGTACCCACAACGTCACCTGTGGTGTCCCTCAAGGATCAGTTCTCGGCCCCACCCTCTTCACACTCTACATGCTCCCCCTTGGCTCTATCATCAGCCGACATGGAGTATCATTCTATTGCTACGCTGATGACACCCAACTGTACCTCAGGATCAACCCTACCTCCTCTGCAGCCCTGCCTTCACCCACACCCACACTCACTGCCTGCCTGGAGGAGATACAGGCGTGGATGAAGCAAAACTTCCTGAAACTCAACAGCTCCAAGACCGAAGCCATTATAGTTGGCACCCCACACCAGGTTCGGTCATCCACCATCACCACCATCACCTTCTCCGGCCAGGACATTACCCTCTCCTCAATAGTCACCAACCTGGGTGTTAAAATGGACGCCCATCTGACCTTTGAGGCCCACATTAAACAGCTGTGCAATAACTCCTTTTATCACCTCAGGAACATCGCCAAACTCCGCCCCACACTCACTCTGTCTGACGCCGAAAAGCTGGTCCATGCCTTTGTCTCCTCCAGGCTGGACTACTGCAATGCACTCCTCATCGGGATCCCTAACAAAATCAATCAATCAATCAATCAATGTTTATTTATATAGCCCAATATCACAAATGTTACATTTGTCTCAGTGGACTTTACAGTTTGTACAAAATATAAGTATGACAATATGACACCCTCTGTCCTTAGACCCTCACATCGTACAAGGAAAAACTTCCGGAGAAAACCCACAGTTTAAAGGGAAAAATTGGAGAAACCTCAGGGAGAGCAACAGAGGAGGGATCCCTCTCCCAGGACGGACAGACGTGCAATAGATGCCGTGTGTAAATTGAAAAGATAATACATTTGCAACATAGGTAGTCCAAATGTTTGGAAATGCATGTGTGTATAATAGGAAGATGAATCCACGAGGATATCCATCCAGGACCTATGATCCAGGACCACAGCCACGACTCAAGATCCAGGGCTCGCGATCCAGGACAGAGGAGCGCAGGATCATCCATGACTCCGGATCCCGGCGTATATAGACACCAAAAAGAAAGACATTTGGGGAAGCTGGGTTAATCGGAACATGAGAGTACACAGGTATAGACAGAGAGAAGGAAGAAGTAAGATGTCCCCCGACAAACTAAGCCTATATCAGCAAAACTAGGGGCTGGATCTAATCAGCCCTAACTATAAGCTTTATCAAAAAGGAAGGTCTTAAGCGCACTCTTAAAAACGGATAGGGTGTCTGCCGCCCCGAACACAAACTGGAAGCTGATTCCACAAATGTGGAGCTTGATAAGAAAAGGCTCTGGCTCCCATTGTACTTTTAGAGACTCTAGGAACAACCAACAACCCTGCATTCTTGGAACGCAATGCCCTAGTAGGACAGTAGGGTATAATGAGTTCTTTAAGGTAAGATGGCGCCTGCCCATTAAGGGCTTTGTAGGCGAGAAGAAGAATTTTAAATTATATCCTGTGTTCTATAGGGAGCCAGTGTAAGGCAGCCAGAACAGGAGTAATGTGGTCCCTTTTCCTAACTCTGGTTA